TTTGAAAATACATTTTCTGCCAGGTTTTGGTGAATATTCATAATTTTGATGCGGAAGGATACAAGAGTTGAGAGGTTGGTAACGTTGAAATGTAGGGCCTGAAATTGCATGTTTACTTGTCTCTACTTCCAGCTTGTGTATCTCAAGTTTTTCATGAAGAACCTCATACGTGCTTTTGGGCAAGTGGTTGCCACATGTTGCTCCATCTGTGGTAGAAAGCGTTCTACCCAACGAAAATTTGGGAAAAAGTTAGAGCCGGTCTAAGATACGAGAATTAACATTGGAGTCAATGGGGAAATCTTTAGTGATCTGTGTCCTGTCTGTGTGTGATAAGGCTGTCACTGATATGCCTTAGTTTTGAAAATATGAAGATTAAATTCTCAGAAAATATGAATAAAATAGTTTGGCTACAGAAAAACTAAAAAAAAGTTAATTAAAAAAAAAATAATCAAAGTTTTGAAGAAAAATTGTGATTTTACTGCAAATTTCTCAATTTTCAATTTTTATTGAATTTTTAACAGTAAGTAAAATATTCTAATGCCCAATGTTGGCTTATTCAGTCTCAGAAAGCACAGATAAAGTGAACAGTATTGAAATTTCACCAAATTTTGTCTAAAAATCAGGAATATTCACAAAAAATCTTGAGATTCCCCCCATTTGGATGTAGAAATTAATATTTTCATGACTACTAAAATGAGTCAAAATGTCTAAAAATGCCCATATTTTCTTTGCTAATATAACTTAGATGAGATCTACATGTTTGTCAGGTTTAGAAATAGCTCCAGCTTTCCTACAGAAAATTTAAAATTGGTAACACTGAGTTAATAATGTACAGCAGATGGGTTTGTACAAAATGTTCAAAATGGGTTGGCTCAATTTTGCCACTATTTTACCCAGAATAAGCATTTTTTTCTTCTTTGAAACATTAAATTCTTGCATTTCCTTCATGTAGGAAGCAATATCCCAGCCTTTCTAGACATTTTTTACTCCATCATTCTGTTTAGAGAGGCAATAAATGCCCCACCCCACCCTTTTCTATTAATGTGTTTTGAGGGATTTAAATGCACCTGTGTTGACATGTAAATGATCTTAATTGGAATTTGTGGTTGAATTACAGCTAAGAATGTTATTTTTCACCCAAAAATATTTTTTTTGTGCATTTCAAGGATTTCTAACCCTTATTTGTTCAGAGTCAAACGTGTAGATGTGTAAATGTCAGTTTAAATGTTCAATATTTTCTTATCAAAATCCAGCATTTGTGGTGTTTGCTGCATTTATGTTGCCTATAAAACAATAAAATGTTAATTTTTCTCCTTTTCAGGCCTCTATTTATGTTGTCAAGTCTGTGATGACTACTTTTTTGACTTCATTTTTTCAGGAAATTAATGTAAAGTTCCAGACATCTTGCTACAGCACAAGGATTGCAATACAAATTTGTAACATGCCTCTGAGGTTTGAGATGTTGGAAACATTGAAATATTCCCAAATTTGTGAAAATTGTGTATTCTGTGACCCTTCTGTTAGAGAGGGGTGATCATAGACCAAATATGGCATTTTTTTCATTCATCAAGGCCTATTTTTAACCATAATTCATATTTATTGCACCTATTTTAGTTTATATGTGCATATGTTAGCCAGGGATGGTAAAACATAGCTGTTAGACAGATTCCTTTGGTAATGTAAGTTCTGCAACCATAGATTAGATTAATTCAATCAGTGGCATGTTCAGGGGGTAGGCATACATGTTTCAGTATAGATCTCTAATATTACAATCATTGCAACTGGTTTGCATTTTTTCTGTTTGCATATTGTCCACAGATTCTAAAAATATATTTCTTGTCCGTCCGGATATTTAAAAAAGTGGAAAATTATTGGTATTTTGAGAGATGCTACATGTAAATTTTGTACATTTTTCATCACATGGCAGTAAAAAATTATATTTTTGAAAAAAATTCCAAATTATGAGTGTTTTCTATGTAGTTTCTTTGTAACTTGTCTAATTTTTTCACAGAACTCAGATACTGCCTTTAATAAGAAAGATTTTTAAATTTTAGCACAAAAGGCCTATGGATCTGAGATGCACCAGTGTACATAAAGCAGCATGTGTACTTAAAGGGCCATCATTTTTACAGTTATTTTTGATTTTGATTTTCTTTCACTGGCATGTTGCCAGAACACATGGGAAGGAAATAAAAAAGGCCTTTTGGTGATACCTGAAGTTTCACCCCTATATAGGACACAGATCACCAAATATTCCTACGCCGTCACCCACGAAACAAGGGCCAAAGCTAGGGCCAAAGCTATTTTTAGTCTTTCTCTCCCTTTTCCTTTTTCCCCCTTTTGCATGGCGATTTTTGTTGACTTTTTGGTGTAGAATTGAGGAAAAGGGTTTGAAAATACATTTTCTGCCAGGTTTTGGTGAATATTCATAATTTTGATGCGGAAGTATACAAGAGTTGAGAGGTTGGTTACGTTGAAATGTAGGGCCTGAAATTGCATGTTTACTTGTCTCTACTTCCAGCTTGTGTATCTCAAGTTTTTCATGAAGAACCTCATACGTGCTTTTGGGCAAGTGGTTGCCACATGTTGCTCCATCTGTGGTAGAAAGCGTTCTACCCAACGAAAATTTGGGAAAAAGTTAGAGCCGGTCTAAGATACGAGAATTAACATTGGAGTCAATGGGGAAATCTTTAGTGATCTGTGTCCATTTACGTGTCTGCATGACCACAGCTCTGATTGGTTGATTTAATCGGTCAAACTCTGACTAGAATTAAAAATCTTATTTTCAAAGAACACACGCTAATTATGTAGTGATTTTGAAAATATTTCACTACAAAGTCACTAGGGAAAGGACATGCTTCATAAGCGCAGATTGCAATCTGCGCAGGACGACAGCGCAGATTGCAATCTGCGCAGGACGACAGCGCAGATTGCAGATCATGACCCATGCTCGCATTACACAAGTATTCCTAATCCTAATTGTTTTCAAATTTGATTGAGTGAAGTCTGTGTCACTACAGACCCGGGACTGTACAGCGCAGTGGACGCTTACGGCTATCCCACGGATCCATTCACTTTTTTTAATTGTCTGTATGTTTGTGTTTTCCTGAGTATGATGTCCTGTCTGTGTATTTGTTTTTGTGTGGTGCAGTCCCCCTGCACTTACTATTAGAGTTACATTCCCCTGGAATCCAGGTGGCGCTTATCAGAAAACATATCATGGCTGGCTATCAGGTGTAATATGTTATAAGCACAAAACCATTTATTTCTTAGTTGTATTTATTTACAAATTAACATGACATTGGTGGCTGCTACCAGTCGTTTTTTCCGTCTCTATATTTTGAGCCCAGAGGCTTTTATTGTTTGCATAGTTCTGCTGGTCCTTTACAATTCGTTGACACACGTCAAGCCGATTTGGCAGGTTGTTCAAAAAGCAAAAGTAAAATTACAACTCAAATGGCGAGGACAAAAAAACGTTGCTAACATTGATGGAGAATCGCCTGATGACAAGACAAAGGCATCCTGGCAACTTCGTAGAGAGAATGTTGCAATTTATGCGATTCAGGGCAGGCGACCGCATATGGAGGATCGTTTTAACGTAGTCAATGATTTTGAACATACCAATACTTCTATTTATGGTATTTTTGATGGACATGGGGGAGAGGTAATTTTTGTTTTGGATTAATTTAAGATGATTAGAGTAAGATGGTCACAGATGGACACATATTTAGTTACTAGTAGTACTCTACATGTTAAAACTAAACCGTTTCTGTCTCAACATAATTTGAGAAGGTTTAAAGGAGCTAAATCGCTAATATTTGGGACCTAGAAATTGACCCAAAATGGGTCGCAACGCATATAAAAATGTAATCTGATTGTACATAAACTGATTTACATTCAATTGTTTCCGTTTTGACCCTTAATTCAAATCAGTTATGTCGAGCGAAATCCGGCCTGTGTCTCAACCCTATAGCAATTTCTAGCGTCTGGTTATTCCAGTCTATTGAGCAGGTTCTCCAGTTGAATATGTCTAGCCTCGTTCTTTCTGGTCACTTGTTGCAAATGACGCTAAAACGCACTATGGTACTAGATTCGTGTACCAATGGTAAAATGTTTATTTTGTCTTAAATATTGGATATCAGAAACCTGTCTTTTCCTGGTAAGATCACAACATCAATGTTGATTTGAATTGACAAATAATTCGTATTTTCAACGTGTATGACTTTGCATGATATTGAGTTAGAGACTTAGCTACTTTGATATATACTCAGCCAAATTAAAAACTTGACACTGATGAATTTCAACAATTTTTTTTTACCATTTTTACCATTGATTTCGCCTCGTTATCACTTGAAACTACGCTTTTGTTTTAGTTTAAAGATATACTCAGGCAAATTAAAAACTTGACACTGATGAATTTCAACAAATTTTTTTTTCTGGTAAGTCAAATAAATTTTAAAGTGTTTCTAACGATAGTAAGTAGTAAGAAGCCTTTAATTTCATAAAATTGTAAATTCATGTGGATCACGTGACTTTTGAGCATATAAAGATGAAAAACACGTGCAAACACAAACTCGCGAGGTCAATCGATGCAAGTTTGCTTAAACTGAACACGCACACGTAACTTGAACTGGAAAAACAAATTAAAATTGTTATTTTCATCTTTGTTAGAAAATGCAGCACCTTTCAAATGTAGAACGTCTACGTGCTATAGGTAGGCTCTATGCTGGTCAGTCTGTGGTCACTGTTGCAAGAGCCTTTAATTGTTCACGCTAGACAATAATTAATCTTAGAATGAGAGTGCTTCAAACTGGAACTATTGCCGACCGCCCAGTCACTCCAGGAAGATCAAGCAATACGATTACGTCATCTTAGAAACAGATTTGTCACTGCAACCTCCACAAGTAGAGAGATGTTTGGTGGAAGGGTAACTGCACAAACTGTTCGAAATCGCTTGCAGGCTGCTGGTCTTCGAGCTCGGAGGCCCTATAATGGACCAATATTGACACCTCTTCATCGCCGTAACCGACTTGTGTGGGCCACAAGACACATAAGATTTACTCAAAGACAGTGGAATTCGGTTGTCTTTAGTGACGAATCTCGATTCACTTTGAGATTTGCCGATGGCAGGGTCGGAGTGTACCGCAAACGAGGTGAACGTTACGCTCAAGTATGCGTCAGAGAAGTTGACCGATTTGGTGGCGGCAGCGTCATGGTTTGGGGTTCTTTTTGTGCACATGGACGTTCTCCTCTTGTTGTTGTCCAAGGGAACTTAAATGCTGTCCATTACAGGGATCAGATTTTGCAACCTGTTCATCTTCCGTTTATGCAGAGACATGGGCTGGACTAACGTTTCAACAAGACAATGCTCGACCCCATACAGCAATTGTTACCCAGAATTTTTCAAGAAATGCAGGTGTCCAAGTCCTGGATTGGCCGTCGCTTAGTCCCGACCTTAATCCTATTGAACACATCTGGGACGAACTGGGTCGACGTGTTCGTCAGCAAGTGAATCCACCATTGAAGTTGCAGGACCTTCAACATGCTCTTGCTGAGCAGTGGCGACGCCTTCCTCGGGTAGTGTTTACTAATGTTCTGAGATCCATGAGAAGACGTTGTGTGGCAGTACGAGACGCTAGAGGAGGCCACAACCGTTACTAAACACTTTATTCCGATTGTTCTCCAAGTCTGTGAATTTCATTTTAGGGGGTACTGTGACATCACGAACGTTATCAATGTCAAGGACTTTCGGCGAGACGTATTCTTGCTTTCTGTTGATGTCAAGGTCGTCTGTGCACAACATAACACTAAAATAGTTGCCTTAAACCAAATATTAAAAATCTAGTCCCAAAAATCCTGAGTGTCAAGTTTTTAATTTGGCTGAGTATACATTATATGTAAGACTAAGAGTTATCTTGATATGTATTTCAACTGGGTTTACAAATTTACATATAGTAGCCTACACTGTAGACACAGAGATTTAGATTACATGGTGTTTCAGACTCGGGTACATGTAGGTGACGCTTCATACTCGGATAGGTGACTTTTCTGACTCAGGATAAGTTTAAATGAAAGGTTAAAACACAAGTCAAATGTCAATTCTGTTTATAGTAACACACGGTCATTTATTTTATAAAATAATTAATTATATAAGGTTTTTTTTTCAGCTATTTCAGTAATAGGACCAAAATTGTGGTTAATATGTGAGTGTCCTGAATTTTCAGACAAGTCATTTCTGGGTGCCATCTTTGTTTTTTTGTAAGACGAAGTAGTATATCACTGCGCTGATGGGCCATACATCAACCCTTCTCAATAGTTTTGTGGCACTTATCTCATTCTTATTGTATGGTTCCGATTGGCCCTATCAATTAAATAAAACAAAAGACTTCAGTTTAACAGTTTCAGTGAGTTAGCATCAAGTTCAATTGTCGCCGAATAAATTTTAAAAAAGACAACTAGCAATGTTGGGTTGTTTGTTTTTGTTTTCAATCTTTTACTAGCGATTATTGCAATAAATAAAAGACAACTAACATATATTTTTTTATTATTCTTAAACATGCATTATGCAAGAGCTAAATCTGCCTATTGCAGGTCTTTCTTTAGGCCTGAAATGTTTTCTAAAATATTAATTAGGCATTAATTAACTGATCCAGGCCTTAATCAACTCTCGATGGCATCAGATTTCTCCAATATTAAATAGATTAGAATGGTTCAGCGATACTTTGATTTAATCAAATATGGAAGACCGAGGCTTAGCTTCGATCAACCAGTACGGTGGTTGAAATTATTGCACACGTCTGTCAAACCTTCAAAGGCTAATATCTTCGCTTGCAATAGAGTAATTTGAATGAAATTTTCAAATTATTCATTTTACATCATCTACTTTCGAACTATTATAGCAAGAATGGCTAGTTCTTTATCTAAATCTTACATAATGTATCTTTAATAAGCTGTCAGCAGCCTCACCTAAAACGAAAAAAACCCAATCCTATACACACAAATTTTCAACAGTCTTCTATTTATTCATCGAATCCGAAACGTCGCTGGACCGAGTCCGAAAAGTAAGTCCAAGCCGTCATCAAACCAAGTCCCAAATGTTGTTTGCATTGAGTATACAAGGTCCCTGGACCGACATGTCGTGCTACCGTGATTTATACCCAGAAAATATCTTTTATGTTGTAAAATTCACATACGTTTGAATGTGGAAGAAACTGATTCTCTAGTTGGATATTTGATATCTGGACGGTAAGGGTTATTTTACCATCCATTTTCATTATTTACTGACCAAAAGCTAAACCTCACATTTATGCCATTTCAATGTACATAAAATGGAAGATTCTCTATCTTTCACTTTGCTGAAAGCAGGATGATTATTTGCCATTATCTGAAAAGAAGTGTGAGCCAACTGCCAAAATTTTCTGTACATGGATATTTTACTGCCTATACAATGATAAGAGCATTCATTGTGGGACTATTTATTTTTTAAACAATGAAAATATCGAGTGCTGGTATTTTTGATGAACATGGGAAAGAATGATCAATTAGTTATCAAAGGATTTTTATACGCCCACATTTTCATGTGAACGTATATTGTCGTCGCCCCTGTCCATCCCGACGTCCGTCCTTCCACAATTTGTTTGTGGACACTCTACAGGTCACAATTCTTATCCGATTTTGACAAAACTTGAAATATAGGTTTATCTCCAAAAGATCTCGGTTCCTTTCGATATTGGCATGTATCGGATCGAAACTTCATGGATTATGGCCCCTGTTTGTATGAAAAATCAAGTTTTTAGCTTTTGGACACTATAGAGGTTCCTTTCGATATTCACGCATATCGGACCGTAACTTCCTGAATTATGGCCCCTGATTGTACGAAAAATAGCGTTTTAGCTTGTGGACCCTATAGAGGTCATAATTTTTATCCAATTTAAAAAAACGTATTATCATATCACCGTTACACCCTAAGGATGGCTGAGTTCAAATTTCGTGAAAATCGGCCTAAAATTGACAGACAAAATGGCAGCCGTTCGTTCTCAAATAGCTTAAAAATATGGTATATCAAGGTTGTGGACCCTATAGAGGTCACAATTTTTATCCGATTTTGTTGAAACTTGAAATGTAAGTTTATAACACAAAGATCTTGGTTCCTTTCGATATTGGCGCATATCGAATTGTAATTTCCTGAATTATGGCCCTTGATTGTATGAAAAATCACTTTCTTTTTAGCTTGTTTTCGATCCATCTCTCGAAAATGTGGGCGTATCCTGCCTGGAAGCCACTGGTTTTGTTGGGCAAATAAAAGTGCTGCACTGTATATTCAAATATATTCTTATTAGGGGTGGGCAAATGGAGGTCCGTTTTAGGTGACGAGTGTTTTCTAAGGCCATTTCGGCTGCTGAATCCGAATCTGATTAGATTTTTGATATGTGACGTAATTTAAGGTTGGTTCAGTGGCCATTTCCAAATGGCCGGCAAAAATGGACTTTTTTCGTCATTATTGTAAGGAAATATTGAAACTAGTCGTCTAATATGTGCTAATGTATGTTTTTATAGGTCGGGGATACAGAATGAGACGAACTTAGATACAAAGGAATAATGGTTATACTACAATGGTACTTTTTGTAATTTGTTTTCAGAAAAATCTGCATTTTTGCAGAATAACGCCGATAATTTGTTCATATCTGTGATGTCGGGTTATTCTATCTCAGATACCATAGCAACTTAGAACAGCTTGCCAACTTCCCAACAGGGGAAGGCAACACCCTGGACATCAACCAACCTATTCCATCTTATGGCAACACTGACCATGACATAGTCCTTCTAGACATGTACTCTACGGCTAATTAAGTGACTAAAACCCATTCGCAGAAAGCTATACCTCTGGAAACGAGCAGACATACAAAGAATCAAAGAGGATCTCACTGACCTTACCGTTTCAGTTATAGTCACGGAAAACGTTGATATAACATGGGAGAACCCCAAAGGGCAGACCATCGCCAAAAGAGTCCCCTCCAAGATGACGACTTCTCAATACACAAATCTCTGGATAAACACAGATATTAATAGAGCCATCAGACGGTAACAGAGGGCTTACAAGAAGGCCCGCCTTACTAAGAAGAATCAAGACAAGGACCTTTACAAGAAGCTACATAATTACCTTGAAACCACGATCAGCAGTGACTATAAGGAAGACTCCAAGAAGTAAAGGCCAAGAAGCCACTTGAGTAGCACCACTCAAAAACAAGAGTGACACCCAGTAAAAAGCCAACATACTGAATCCACAGTTTGAATCAGCTTTCACTGCAGTGTTCCCACCATGGCATCCATCAAACTTGATTGGAAAGGTGTACATACATTTGAAACTTCTGATGAATTTGAAGCTCCATTATGCAACTGGACCAAACACAGTCCCCTCCTTCATCATCAAAGCTGTAGTCACCAAATTTTCACCTGCCCATACACAACTCTTCCAGATGTCACTCGACTCGGGCATAGTCCCCAAGGATTGGACAGAAGCCAATATTCAAGAAGGGAGACATACATCAGCCATGGAACTAAACGCCGGTGTCACTTGCCCACATCACCTGCAAGATACTGGAGCATATATTGCATAACAGTATAATGCAGCACTTCGACAAGAGCAGCATCTTGTGTGATAGTCAGTATGGTTTCAGGAAGTGTCGCTCCTATAAGACACAACTGATCTCTACCATACAGGAAATAGGCTCACCCGTAGCCAAGGGAAAACAATTGCACATCATACTCCTGGCCTCGCCAAAGCGTTTGACAAGTGCCCCATGAAAAGCTCCTTCATAAGCGTGAACATTACGGAGTAAGAGGCAACTCACTAAAGTGACAAAAAAGACACCAACAAGTCCTACTCGGCTGAGCAATATCTGACATGGCTCAGGTTACACCAGAGTTCCACGGTGCACTGTGCTTGTATTGGTCCATAGCCTTCATCAACGATCTACCAGAATCCATAAAGTCATCCCATTTCAAGCTTATTGTTGATGACAGTCTCTGGTAGTGGGAAACCAGACAGTCTTCGATCTTCTCCAGAAAGATCTCACTGCATTAGAGACATAGGAAAATACGGGGCAGATGTCCTTCAATCCATCCACATTGCTCCAAAGAACAAGAGGATACTATTCAGCACGGCTTTGTCGATATACTTCACCAGAAGTACTTACGAAACGGCGACTCTCGCACCTGAGAACAACACAGATTCTACCAGGAGAGAGTATAAAACTTTCATTGAACTATTTATGGTCTGGGAAGATCCCAGTTCAGTATCAGTACAAAGAAATCTGAAATGGAATAACCCGACATCACAGATATGAACAAATTATGCACAATTATCTGAACAAAAATGCAGATTTTTCTGAAAACAAAGGACAAAAAGCATGATTGCTGTATAACCATTATTCCTTTGTATCTAAGTTCGTCTTATTTGGTATCCCCGACCTTTAAAAACATACATTTGAACATATTAGAGGACTAGTTTCAATATTTCCTTACTTTTACGATGAAAAAGTTCCATTTTTGGCGGCCATTTTGAAAATGGCCACTGAACCAACCTAAAATGACGTCACATATCAAAAATCTAATCGGATTCGGATTCAGCAGCCGAAATGGCCTTAGAAAACACTCGTCACCTAAAATGGACCTCCATTTGCCCACCCCTAATAAGAATATACTTTTACGATGAAAAAGTTCCATTTTTGGCGGCCATTTTGAAAATGGCCACTGAACCAATCTAAAATGACGTCACATATCAAAAATCTAATCGGATTCAGATTCTGCAGCCAAAATGGCCTTAGAAAACCTAAAATGACGTCACATATCAAAAATCTAATCGGATTCGGATTCAGCAGCCGAAATGGCCTTAGAAAACACTCGTCACCTAAAATGGACCTCCATTTGCCCACCCCTAATAAGAATATACTTTTACGATGAAAAAGTTCCATTTTTGGCGGCCATTTTGAAAATGGCCACTGAACCAATCTAAAATGACGTCACATATCAAAAATCTAATCGGATTCAGATTCTGCAGCCAAAATGGCCTTAGAAAACACTTGTCATGTGGGAAATCGATAAATGTTGATGTCATTTGCCCACCCCTATTCTTATTTAAGTGAATTTCTATTTCAGTTTGCAGCTGATTTTACAGAGAAGACATTGTTTAAATGTTTAATGGTGCGATTATTAAAAATAGCATTAGGGGAAGAAACAGAAGATATATCTGGTATGATTACAGAGGAAATGCTTGAGGTGGATAAAGAATTATTACAATTAGCTAAAGCTAACCTGGAAATTTCAGGTGAATATTTTATTTTATGTAAATGGCTCTCATAGTTTTTGGACAATCTAAGTTATGTATGTGTAATATAAAACTTTTACTTTATAAGCTTACAGCATCTGCACCAGTCTAGAAGATGTCAGGTTTTTTTTTTTCTCAGAAAAGTTGATAGAACAGCACATCATGCAGTGATCATGAGTTAGCAATCCATGAACTCTAGCCCTTATAGTGTCCACAAGATTTTCTGATAGTATCCTTACAAGAAAATCCATAATGATAAATGATAATCTTATGAAGCTATGAAGCTTGTAGTTCTTTCTTACCCATCTTAACACTATCCAAAGTGTTTTCTGTATTTACAAGTCTATATACAAGCAAAAGAACAATAAATCCTTTTTACAGTTTTACAATTTTATCCCTTCAATAGCAATTCTCAATAATAATCAGTTGTGTAAAACTTCATGTTTATAGACATTAACCGCAATCATTCAATCAAAACATTGTATCAAATTACTCATTCTGTTTTCACTGACCTTAACTGTACTGTGGAAGTAAGTATCTCTATAATTGTTATTGACAAGTTAAATACTGATAGTTATAACAAGGTGGACATTTTAAAAATAATCAAGGACAACAACTCTAAAAGTAATTACATGTATCAGCTTCTTCATCACTACATATTAATCTCCAGTTGGATGATTTCTTAACCTATGATGGCTTTAACAAGATTTTTCAAATTGATCAAGGTGACAACTCAATGGGATTCTTCGTCTCATTGCCCTGTGTATAAATTTAAAGTAAATTAAATAATAACTTTAGCCTCTAGAGCATGCACAAGATTTTTCAAATTGATCAACTGGTCGTAACTTCGAACAGTAATTAATAAAGGATTTAATATGGAATGTGATGGGACATTATATAAATAACATAAATATATGTTTTGTAAATAAACTATTTTTTTAAAAATTAAAATGTTTCTCTGCAATAAACAGTAATTGTAGCCAATATCATTGTGTCCGGTGAATCATCACTAATGAATAGTCAGAAACATTAGTGTCAATGAAAAAATGTTCTTGGTCCACAGGACCACAACCACACTAGAAAGTAACCAGCGGCTGCCAGGCAGGATACGCCTACATTTTGCAAGAGATGGATAGAGAACAAGCTAAAACAAGAAGCTATTTTTCGTGCAATCAAGGGTCATAATTCAGGAAGTTACGATCCAATATGTGTGAATATCAACAGGAACCAAGATCTTTGGGTTATAAAGATATATTTCAAGTTTCATCAAAATTGTGACATCTAGAGGGTCCACAACCTTATTATACTATATATTTACACTATTTGCATACGAGAGGAGGCCATTTTCTCCAGCAGTTTTAGTCTGATTTTCACAAAATTCGAACTCGGCCATCATTAGGGTGTAATGGTTATATATTCAAAGATTTTTTTCAAATCAGATAAAAATTGTTACCTCTAGAGTGACCACAAGCTAAAAACATGATTTTTCGTACAATCAAGGGCCATAATTCAGGAAGTTATGATCCGATATGCGCGAAGTTTGAAAGGAACCCAGATCTTTGGGTTATAAACATGTATTTCAAGTTTCATCAAAATTGGATCAAAATTATGACCTCAAGAGGGTTCAGATCCTAGATATACCAAAATTTTTACACTTGCGTATGAGGGGCGACCATTTTGTCCGGCAGTTTGGGTCTGATTTTCACGAAATTCGAACTCAAGTGTCATTACAGTTTAATGGTGATATATTCAAACGTTTTTTTTAAATCGGATAATAATTGTGACCTCTATTAGGACCACAAGCTAAAAACGCGATTTTTTGTACCGGTACAATCAAGGGCCATAATTCATAAAGTTATGATCCGATATGCACAATTATCGAAAGGAACCAAGACTATTGGGTTTCAAGTTTCTTCAAAATCATATGAAAATTGTGACCTCTTAGAGTGTCCACAAGCAAAAAACTTGATTTTTCGTACAACCAGGGGCCATAATACATGAAGTTATGGTGCAATATATGCCAATAACGGAACCAAAATCTTTGGAAGATAGACCTATATTTAAAGTTTCGTCAAAATCAAATAAAAATTGTGACCTGTAGGGTGTCCACAAACAAATTGTGGACGGACGGACAAAGGGAACGACAATATACGTGCACATGAAAATGTTGGTGTATAAAAATATGAAAAATAAAGTAAATTAGGTATTTGCATGACTTTTGTTCTGCCAACTGGAATATTTTATCTGCCAAAAATGTTTGATAATTTTATTTCCCAGGTAGACCTACTATAAAAGAATTATCAGTTCATACAATCAATACATTAGCCCAGTTATGAGATGATTTACTACGATCAGATTTCATTTTTGGTGATTTGAATCTTTTAGCACACCGTATTAAACAATATATTTTCAGTATTTACACGTCTTCGAGAAGAATTGTCGGCCATTTTGTTTATTTCCATTTATTGTTTTAAGATGAAACAAATCATCAAATAATCACCTCATGGATTAAACATACATTATGCAAGAGCTAAATCTGTCTATTGCAGGTCTTTCCTTAGGCCTGAAATGTTATCTAAATTATTAATTAGGCATTAATTAACCTATCCAGACCATAATCAACTCTAGATAGCATCGCTAGCCTACGATCATTAGTGGATTATGAGCCGATTTACTGCATAACTTTCCTTCACGATTTAACGATTAAATGGATAATCCCGACTATGCTGTTTATCGTACTGACTTTAGTAATGATGATCGAGGCTCTAGGCAGAAATTTTAGTCACTTAGTTCTCAGTTCATAGTGGATCAATTTGAATGAAATTTTCAGCAAATTGACTTTACATTATCTAGTTCTTAACTATTATAGTGAGAACTGCCAACTTGTTATCGAATCTCCTATAATGTATCTTTAATTATTAGGATTACATAATGACTTGAGATAGCCTTTATATATATCATTGGCAATTATCAATCAATTATAATCATTAATCCAAGACAATTGATTAGTATTACTCAATGACACAGTTTGGGTTATCAGCCAGTTGATTTGTTTATAGTATGCTGCCACATGGTTGTGATTGACATTCAACGAACTGTTCAATCTAGGATACGATTAGAATTTTAAGATTTTTTCCGCCACATCTCAAAAAGAATCGCAGGTACTCCAAAACATTATCGTCAAAATCAAATTTTAATTGCCACTTTCTTTTTTTTATCGCAAATTGCGCCTGTGGTGACCGACAGCTTCAGTCCTGTGAATATCTGATTACTCGTCACTAGACATTTAGTTTTGAATTTCAGTCTGACTTAATATTTGTATGTTTCAGGCACGACAGCACTAGTTGCCTTAATAAAAAATGGAATCTTAACAGTGGCCAATGTTGGAGATTCCCGTGGAGTTATCTGTGATAAAGAAGGAAAAATGTTACCATTATCTTTTGATCATAAACCACAGCAGGTATAAATATAATGGAGAAACTACATTATGTTCTATAGTGAAGAGGTTATTCTAAACATAGTAATCCTGTTTTGAGCTCCATTACAGATTGTTTTGGAAATTTCAACATTTTAAAGTGAATTGTTGCACAAATCTAAACTCCACCAATTATCCTTATAAATGTTGTTACAAAAATGTTGTTAATTCACTGTCACATTAAATATACATTATGCAAGAGATCAACTCTCGATGGCATTGGATACTTGAGATTGTAACTAGATTAGAATAGTTCACCATTTAAAAAAATTTAATTTAAAAATGAGGAAGTGCAGCTTAGTCTCGAATATACCAGTGCCCTGGTTACCACAATGTACACATCTTGTCAAAACTAAAAACAGTGATAACTTGGCTCAGAATGAAGTAATTTTCAATATTTTTATTTTAGATTATCTATTTTTGAGCTGTTATAGCAAGAATGGTCAGCTCTTTATCTAAATCTTACATAATGTATACTCAGCCAAATTAAAAACTTGACACTCGGGATTTTTGAGACTAGATTTTTAATATTTGGTTTAAGGCAACTATTTTAGTGTTATGTTGTGCACTGACGACCTTGACATCAACAGAAAGCAAGAATACGTCTCGCCGAAAGTCCTTGACATTGATAACGTTTGTGATGTCGCAGTACCCCCCTAAATGAAATTCACAGACTTGGAGAACAATCGGAATAAAGTGTTTAGTAACGGTTGTGGCCTCCTCTAGCGTCTCGTACTGCCACACAACGTCTTCTCATAGATCTCAGAACATTAGTAAACACTACCCGAGGAAGATGTTACCACTGCTTAGCAAGAGCATGTTGAAGGTCCTGCAACGTCAGTGGTGGATTCACTTGCTGACGTTCACGTCGTCTGCGGTACACTCGGACCCTGCCATCGGCAAATCTCAAAGTGAATCGAGATTCGTCACTAAAGACAACCGAATTCCACTGTCTTTGAGTAAATCTTATGTGTCTTGTGGCCCACACAAGTCGGTTACGGCGATGAAGAGGTGTCAATATTGGTCCATTATAGGGCCTCCGAGCTCGAAGACCAGCAGTCTGCAAGCGATTTCGAACAGTTTGTGCAGTTACCCTTCCACCAAACATCTCTCTACTTGTGGAGGTTGCAGTGACAAATCTGTTTCTAAGATGACGTAATCGTATTGCTTGATCTTCCTGGCGCTCCCGCCCTTGGACGGTCGGCAATAGTTCCAGTGTGATAAAAATAAAATAAAACCAAGTACGAATAATCCAAACCATCAGACAGAATTCGAAGTCCTAAAAAACGTTATAGGCAAAATAGTGTATTCAAACTCTCATTCTAAGATTAATTATTGTCTGGCGTGAACAATTAAAGGCTCTTGCAACAGTGACCACAGACTGACCAGCATAGAGCCTACCTATAGCACGTAGTCATTCTACATTTGAAAGGTGCGGCATTTTCTAACAAAGATGAAAATAACAATTTTAATTTGTTTTTCAAGTTCAAGTTACGTGTGGTGTTCAGTTTAAGCAAGCTTGCATCGATTGACCTCACGAGTTTGTGTTTGCACGTGTTTTTCAGGTTTTTCATCTTTATATGCTCAAAAGTCACGTGATCCACGTGACTTTACAATTTTATGAAATTAAAGGCTTCTTACTACTTACTATCGTTAGAAACACTTTAAAATTTATTTGACTTACCAGAAAAAAAATTTGTTGAAATTCATCAGTGTCAAGTTTTTAATTTGCCTGAGTATATCTTTAAACTAAAAGCGTAGTTTCAAGTGGTAACGAGGCGAAATCAATGGTAAAATTACCATTCCCTGTAATATACATGTATAATGTGTCTCAAAATGAAAGTTTCTGTGTTATCGACTTTGTGAAACAGGGATTAGCTGTATACCACATACCAAAATAGGGAGCAATGGTGACTCAGTGTATAAAGTGTTAGCTCGATAACCAGGAGATCTCTTGTTGACATGCATGTAAATTTATACCTTGACAGTTGGAATTCAAAATAAAGAGAGGATGGTAGTGCCACTGTCCAGGCAACATTTCCCTTATACTGGACAAGTCAATCAAGTTTTGAGTTGATGAAGAAAAAATCAAATTGTGGTTATGAAATATTTTCAAACCAGAATAAATCACTTGATCATGTCTTTCTGTAAATACAGCCCTAGTGTAAGTCCACAATCACAATCAACCAGTCTACCTAGTGACAAAGAATGGGGAAAACTACTTCTGGACCAGTTTGCACAAATTGTCATTTTTTGACAATTCAAATAAAATGAAATATGGTTTAACGTCCTACTTTTCTGCACCAACAGGGCAAATTGTCATTTTGTGACTAAATCAAGTATATTGAAATAGGCTTTAGGCCGCAGTTATTTAATTGTTTGTTTCTCATGACTCGCTCGCATGTCCGTTTTCATCCCTTATAATTACGCAGTTCCATAATTATTTGGTCAAATTTAGGGAGGTCACAAATTCATCCTGTAAAATTTGTAAAACTATATTTGTTTGCCTTCAAATATTAACAATGAATTGACACATTAAAATCGACTATTTATCGATAAACATGACACTGTAGGTGATTAGTAAAGTCTAGTAGGCTAGAACCTGAAAAAATATACGAAGTCCATACACGAAACCGGAAGTTAAAAAAGCTGTATCATATCTGTAATTCTGCAGCATTTTCTTTCACCAAAGACGACATACATACTTCATAAGGCACTTGTCAAGTAATAACATTCATGGAAAGATATAAATGTCTTTAAATTAGTGCTAAAATATTTTATTTACGTGACTAGCACTCTGTGACCAATGGTTCCAAACCTGGTGCCATGAGATAGTCTCGATCATGAGGTAAGCCTACCGACTAATTGTGACTACATCACGGTATTTTATTAACCAGGACACTCTATAAACACAGTCTCAAAAGGACACAAAGATACTAATAAATGTGAATACTTTGATGAAGATAGACAAAATTATAAAAAGTATTTATCATGATGCCATTTGCCGATGGGGTCGAAGTTGAAGACAATTAACATACAGGTTATTGGTACTATCTTCCTTCTTGGTTAGAGAAACGAACACATGTGTAATAAATTCTTTGGACTGACATGATCTAACTAATGTTGTATTCAAAATTCCAAAGGTATGCTTTTAAATATTTATGTTAGAACAAATCATCAACCTGATTGGAACAAACGGTTAACTTAGAAGCGTATCACTAATAAATAGACCTATTACATACATGTATTATGATCAAGTCTTCCGATGCCCAGCTATTTTGCAACATATATTTTAATCTATAAAAATTTTATCAAATGTGAATAAATCGCAAACGCCAGTTACCGTTTGGTTTTCAATGACCAAGTAACCGACATTAGTTCATTGCTGAAATAGAAACAGCATTAAACTTAAAAATTTTAAATTCCATCTCAATAATTAATAATTACCTCATGTAGCATGTATATTTCACAAACACAGATCATGAGAAACAAACAATTAACCGCGGCCTTAACATCCTACTTTTCTGCACCAACCGGGATAATGAAGAGTATTATTACGTCTAATTTCATTGATTTTTCAGTTAAAAGAAAGGAAAAGAATTCGTCAAGCTGGTGGTTTTATAAGTTTTAATGGAGTCTGGCGAGTCGCAGGTGTTTTAGCTACCTCAAGAGCTTTAGGGGATTACCCGTTAAAAGATAAAAATCTAGTCATAGCTGAACCAGATATATTAACTTTTGATCTTAGTGACCTTCAACCTCAATTTATGATTTTAGCCACAGATGGACTATGGGATTGTTTTAGTAGTGAAGAAGCTGTAGAATATATCAAAGAGAGGTTGAATGAACCTCATTTTGGTGCCAAGAGTTTGGTTTTGCAGGCATATTATCGTGGTTCTGTTGATAATATCACCGTTATGGTGGTGAATTTTAAATTAAAACAAGTATCTTCGTTTGGTATGAATGATTGGTGATGATTTGGGTGATTGTTTTTTTTTTATTTTATTTTGAAATCTATACATCCGATATGTTGACGTGAATCTCAGTAGAAATTTATGTGTACAGGCTACACATCTGAATTTGAGAATTGTCTATTCACAGTATTGATTGGCAAATGATTTAAAGATAGTTTCCCCACCAAAGTATTTATCGGGTGGTTATTTCCACTAAAAGTATGGCATTCTGGTATGTAATATGGAAAGTAGAGACACCCAATCTTACTAGAAAAAAAGGATTCCTTGAAAAACCCATGGAGCATGCACAGGACAAAAATGAGAGGGTTTCACTAATCGGCATCCTGACGGTTAAGGTCTGTTGACTCAAGTGACGTCATTGGTTACACACATAGATGTCTGAGCTCTTGTCGTTAGGGAGCACTTGATGTATATGTTGACAAACTCGATGGTGAGAAGACGTGGAAATAGTGAGATACTTGAACACCAACAGTTTCCGAGATGAAAACCACGGAAAAAGACTTGGACAGGGAATAATCTGAGTATTTAATTAGGCTTGGATATTTATGATAAATGGACAGAATTAAAGACTACATCATCTTTTATATGTAACGAATTCTCTCCAGGCTTCACACCCATTGCTAGGTACCTCAATAGCCAAGTCATGTGACACAAACATAACCTCTTTTAATAGATTTTTTTTTATAGTTTAGGGTATTTCCTCGCGAATACAATGTTTTGAGATGGATTTGAAGTAAATTTTTGATAAACCAATTAGTTTGAATATGTTTTTAGTCTAAATATATCGCCAAATCATCCAGTTTGTATGTGGAAGGTATCTTTAATTACAGTATATCTTAACTCAACTATATATATGCTATTGGTAGCCATGGTGACACCTGCCTTATACTGATATGAACCACGCTATATTGAAGTAGAATAGTACAGTACCATATTTTAATGTGGAGTGTAAGTCGAATCGTATTTAAGTTGATGCAAGATTAGTCTGGAGGCTCAGTGCGGAGGGGTGTCCAACAAATGGGCACAAAACGAGACCCAACTTTTCTAGAGTAAAATTTTGCGAAGAATACGATGCCAAGTGGTAATCAGTCTGCCGTTGGGGTGTTTTCGAGATATTCGGGGTCAAAGGTCAAATGAGGTCATTTGCACTGAAAGTGAATGTGCAGCCATTCTTGTATCACGAAAACATACTGAAAATGATAGAAAGTAACCAGCCTTTCAATAAAAATGTTAACTTGCTAAATTCACCATTATTCTTTGTGACCTCGTAGGCCAAAAGATCAAATTGTCCGTTTTTGCACTAGTAAAATTTAAAGCAATAAAATATCAGCATAGAATATAAAAACTAAAGCAAAACCTGTTCTTATTAATAAAAGGAACATTTAAAACTTATCTGTAGGTGGTCTTAGCACCGTACATTTACTTTAGAAAGTCGAAAAAGATTTTGCATAACAGAACCAAAACACTTCGAAACCTGTTTCAAAAGTACGTAAAAACTGTCAAATCAAAATCTCTCTTATTTAGTTTCACAACGATTCCTATACATCATGAAACTAGTTGTGCGAAAAAACAATTGAATGGTTTCATGGCCGAACTCCAGCCTGCAGGCCGTGTCACAAAGTCTGCCAAACTTTTAACCAATAACATTTTAGTCAGGTCAATATGGAAAATACCCCCTCAACCCCCCAAAAATTGCTACCAAAGGTTTCTCAACTGATTCTGGTAGGGTTTAGTGTACTTTATAACATACTAAAAGTTTGTCAAAGTAGGACCCCTGGAAAAGTGTTTTTTCAAGATGGCGTCAAAGATGGCCACCGAAACGTCTTAAAATGATCATAACTATGTAACTATCAACTCAAATTTGATGATCATGGTGTATTTCGCTAGGTTTTTTGGGGCAAAGAACACATTAAGGTCTTAAAATGATCATAACTATGTAACTATCAACTCAAATTTGATGATCATGGTGTATTTGGCTAGGTTTTTTGGGGCAAAGAACACATTAAGGTCATTAAAAATGATGTTGGCCTTTTATGTTTAAATTGGCCGCCAACACCTCCAAATGACCGCAAGTCCATAACTATTGACTCAAATTTGATGATCTTGATGTCTATCCCCAGAGTTATGGCCCTTGATCACTTTGAAAAATCTTGTGGACACTCTAGAGGCTAAACGTTAGCATGGGGCAGAACTTTATAAAAACCAAACAAATTCTAATGGTTTTCTGATAATTACTTCATGAGTTGTTACTCTTAATCAGATTTTAGTGTATTATAAATATTTCATTACCGAAAGAAGTAAAAATATGCGACAACACTTGTTGACTGCCCGGACGATTTAGCTGCTGTGGGTGTATGTTTCATTGCCTGGCAACCTATCTTTATATTGAGGTCTTGCATTGTTGTCCTTTCACAATTCTTGTAAGCACTCTACAATAGTTTTCGAGAAAAAAAATCAATTTGCTGGGATTGTCTTGACTAGTCTTAAGGGAAAACCCTATTGAAATTTATTGTCATGTATCGATTTTTCGCAGCGCTACTGCCTCTGTCAGTTACATGTCAATAGTTTTTATTTATTTTTTCTGATTTCAAACTTGCTGGGATTGTTTACCTGGACTTAAGGAGGAATCAATTTTCAGGGATATTTCAAAAAGCTTTTGGTAGTGTATATTCCTTGTCTGGCAAATCTATGTTTATACATTATATTATCTCAGCTGTCAAAATATTTGAAATCTCCCCAAAATTGTATTGATTTGGGTGCATTCAAAGTAATTCTAAATGACTTAAATTTCAATGCTTGTGCTCATATGCTCCCATTCAATATCGCGTTTAGGTAATTTATGAGTCCCCACACCCTTTCATACATCCATCAGGTGCCACTAGGTACAAGTCGTAACCATGCTGAAATATTGGCGTTTGAAATGGCTGAATTTTTTGTGCTGAATTTTTCAGACAAGGTGAACAATATACTCCTTTAAGTTAAATCTGTGACTGCTTTATTGAATTAATTTGACTTATAATGTATTATGTAAATGTATTGTTGTCTTACACCCACTTGGAAATGTGGTCGTTTGCCCACCTATGTCCATCCATCGTCCACAATTTCTTGTTAACACTCTACAGACTACATTTATCATTTAATTGTTTTTATACGCCCCCATTTTCATGTGGACATAATGTTGTCGCCGTGTTTGTCCACAATTTGTTTGTGGACACTACACTTCACAATTTTTATCCGATTTTGACATAACTTGAAATATAGGTTTTATTTCCAAAAGATCTTGGATTATATCGATATTGGCATGTATTGGACCGTAAATTCATGGATTATGCCCCCAAATTATACGAAAAATCAGGTTTTTTTTCTAAGAGGTCACAATTTATATTCGATTTTGACGAAACTAGAAATGTATGTTTATAAGCCAAAGGTCTTGATTCCTTCGATATTCGCACATATTGGACCGTAACTCCCTTGATTATGGCTCCAGATTGTTTTTATCTTGTGGTCCCTCTAGAGGTCACAACTTTATCCAATTTAAAAAAAAACCATTCAAATATATCACTGTTACACCATAATGATGGTTGAGTTCGAAATTTGTAAAAATGGGATCGAAACTGCCAGACAAAATGGCCGTTATTTATATACATTATTAAATTAAATTAGCAAACCAAAGAATTTTAACAAGTTCCTCTAACTACTTCTAGTATTGTGGCCCATGTGAAAATTTTGTAGAACCTTATGAATGCACACCAACTACAAAAGTAAACACCCGATCTGTATGCAGTTATGGCCCTTGTTTGACTTTGTAGAATCTTGTGAACGCTCTAACAATAAAAGTTATCATCTGATCTGTATGTGATTTAAATCTGTTATTTGAATTATTAAAACAAAGAAGTCTATCGAATTTCAGACAATTTCCATTAATTACTTCTAATTCATAGAACCCGGTGAATGTTCTAACGACAAAAGTTATCATCTGATCTGTATGAAATTCATATGCGTTATTTAAATTAGTAAACCTGAAGAAGGTGATCAAATTTGAACAATTTATGTTCCTATTTCTAGAGTTATTTACCTTGTTTCACTTTGTAGAACCTTGTGAACGACAAAAGTTATCATCCATATGCAGTAAATAAATGTCTTATATATGCCCCCATAGGCCCATTACAAACAAGAGAATAGATATGACACAACCTTTGTCAACTGCTCGAACGAATTAGCTGTTGTGGGCATATTTTTTGTTGCCTGGCAAACTATATTTTTATACGCCCACATTTTCATGTGGACGTATATTGTCGTCGCCCCTGTCCATCCGTCCGTACACAGTTGTTTTTGTGGACACTCTACAGGTCACAATTTTTATCTGATTTCAAGGAAACTTGAAATATAGGTTTATCTCCCTAAGATCTTGGTTCCTTTCGATATTGGCATGTATCGGAACGTAACTTCATGGATTATAGCCCAAGATTGTACGAAAAATCACGTTTTTAGCTTGTGGACCCTATAGAGGTCACGATTTTTATACGCCCACATTGAAATGATTGTTGTCGCGTCCGTCAAAGGGTCCGGCGTCCATATCCGATTGACTTTAAATTTATACACAGTGTTTAAGGTCATGGACGAAGAAGCCTATTGATTTTCAGCGATTTTCGATAATTACTGCCAGAGTTATGGCCCTTGATCACTTCAAAAAATCTTGAGGACGCTCTAGAGGTCAAAGTTAATATCCAATTTGACTTTAAATTTATACACAGTGTTTAAGGTCATGAGACGAAGAAGCCTATTGATTTTCAGCGATTTCCGATAATTACTGCCAGAGTTATGGCCCTTGATCATTTTGAAAAATCTTGTGGACGCTCTAGAGGCTAAAGTTAATATCTGATTGACTTTAAATTTATACACAGTGTTTAAGGTGATGAGACGAAGAAGCCTATTGATTTTCAGCGATTTCCGATAATTACTGTCAGAGTTATGGCCCTTGATCACTTTGAAAAAACTTGTGGGCGCTCTAGAGGCTAAAGTTATCATCCGATTGACTTCAGATTGACACACAGAGTTTAAAGTCTTGAGACGAACAAGTATATTAATTTTCAATGAATCTTTATGACTTGAACAGCTAAATCCATTATGTTAAAGTGCACATAAGATGGAGGAAAAACTTTTTAATGCGTTTAGCCAGTGGTTACTATATCCACTTTACGGCAAGTTCACGCCAATCTGGTTCAAAGTCGTAAAAGTAAACCTCCCGTAAAAACGACTTTGCCAATTATCGAAAACACTCTTAATCCCCTCAAATGTTTATTCCTTAATTGCCGATATACAGCCGGCGTGTGTATTCTTTAACGCCTGAAGGATTCCTTAATCCCCCTAATTAAATAAATTAATTGACTACGGAATAATTTGTTTTGTAATTCATTTTAATTTAAGATCCAATTTAGAGTGCCTACAACTTTTAAACTTTGAAGTCTTGAACTCTTAATTATTTTTTTACAATATGGAACCTATTGGACGAACACTTTTAATATGTAAATAATATACGGGTCCAGCTATGTGGTTTTTACTGCGAGCACTTAGCTTTTCCACATAAAGTGTAGTGTCGTTAATATTTGCCATTAATTAATCAATCAGACTATAAAAGTTATACAGGCATGGGTCATAAATTAATTTACACGTTGGTGTTAGCAGTGAGTGTTAGTCGAATTAAGAATGTTGATTAGGTAATTATCTTTTTTTACGCCGGCCAGATCAAAGACATCACTCTAGGTGGAACGCGTGCGTAATACCTCACGAATGAACTAAGAGTAGAATCGTACACAAACTCATCAGTTGTTTATAATTAATACTATTTACCCAATAATTATTGCTCACCGGTGTTTTTGTAATCAAGTAGACTCGTATTATTTGTTGATTGGAGTTTAAACAACATTTAATTGATGGATGCATAAATGTTTTTGATACGATTAGGTTATAATGTCTAACATCATTTATCTTCTTTATAATAAAAGATTTTACAATTGCATTGACAGTTTAATCACTCACCAAACGGCACCAGGAATTCCACGTATGATCCCGTGCAATTTTCGCGCCGAAGTTTAACCTCATTTACTACACCCGTAGTACATGGAACGGTACATGGAACGGTACATGGTAATTAGATTCACAGCGTTGATTGGCAGAGAAATGACTGCGATCTATTGTACATGTTATGCATAGTCATCGGAAAATTCCATATTCACTGTAAATTTCAAATGGGCTTACGATTAAAGTTGTTCTTTGTGTATAGAAATGGTTATTCAGGGGCGGATCTAGGAATTTTGAAAAGGGGGGCAAGAAAATTATTCGTCATTTCCTTGCATCTGTAGCCATTCCAAGAGCTATTTGTCTGATATTTTCGTCTCAGTAAACACATCAATAACAACACATTTGTACACTTATGGATTTTTAATCTGTAATCAACGGTACAAAGTCAGATGGGTCAAAACCAAAAGTATGACACAGATGTCAGTAGCGCGTGTGTCCTCCACGGGGTCTTACGCACGCTGTGCAGCGACGTCGCATGGAATTTACCAATGTTTGAAAGAAGGCCTGGGGCAAATTGTTCCATTCTTGGACATGAAATGAAATGAAATGGGGTTTAACGTCCTACTGTTCTGCTCCTAAACTGGGCTAATGAAGACAGGCATACGCCATACAGTGTGCTATGAGGGAAATTTTGCCCGGACAGCGGCACTACGGCCTACTCTTATATCGAATTCCAACTGCCAAGGGATCTTTTACGTGCACGCCAATGTGTACACGGGACCTCGGTTTTTCGTCCCATCCGAACGACTAGACAGCTTTCCTTGTCAGCCCCTCCGTCCTGCATCACTGACAAGGGAGAACCACGCCGGAAAATCTGGATGAACTTTCTCGGCAAATGCAGGGATCGAAATCCCGACCTCCAGGCTAGCGTCTTACCCACTTAGCCACGTGATCCCCTCCATTCTTGGACAAGAGCAGCTTCTAAAGCAGCAATGGTGTGCATCTGTGGTCTCCGATACAGACGGCGTCCAATCTCATACCAGACATGTTCTATCGGTGCCATGTCCGGAGACATGGCTGGCCAGTCCAAGACAATGATGTTGTTAGCAGCCAGGTAGTCCATACTAAAACGGGCGGTATGCGGACGTGCATTATCCTGTTGGAAATGCTGAAGTTATGGGTGCGCTCGAAACATCGGAACAACAATTGGTTGCAAAACATCATCACGGTAGGCTACAGCATTAACGCGACCCCTGCAAATGTGTAGGGCGGTCCGGTGATGAAATGTGAAGCCTCCCCACACCATTACACTTCCCCACCCCATCGATTCGTTTCGAAGGCCTTCCCCAAAACGTCTCCATACACGCTGACGGCCATCAGCGTGATAAAGATGAAAGCGACTCTCATCACTGAAGAGCACACTTTGCCAGTCTACTCTTCTCCATGTCTGGTGTCCTTGAGCCCATATCACCGCTGACGGTGATGATCCCTGACCTGAGGATAGCTCCAACATAAGGTCGTCGTGCACGGAGTCCTACTTCTCTTAGACGACGTCTTTTGGTGTTGGCTCTTACTGGTCCTTGTCTTCCGACGACTGCTGCACCTGTTCGAGTCGCTGGGCGGAATCTGTCACGCAGGTGAGTGACCCAGATGTAGCTGTCTTGAGCTACATGTTGAAAACATGCTTTTAAAGGGCTCACACACAATGCGGCACGTGAATATTGGGTTTTTCATGTGCATCTCGTGCAATTTTTTTTTGCACACGGGCCGATATTTTTTGCGTTTGGGAGCATTGTGTGAAACAATAGTTCATAGTATTGCATAATATTATACATACAAAACCACCTAGTAATAAAATATTTGGGAAAAAAAAGTGATGCGTTTTCCATGGCGCTCAGTATACAAGGAGTGTCAAATGCAATTTCTTTAAATAATGGTATGCTTGCTTTGTAGCTTAATACTTTCTTTTTTAGAAAAATTCAAGTATCAGATACCAATATATACTACATCTTCAAACCTTGAAGGACAGTCCAATCTCATACTTGGTGAGCAGCACAGCAGACTCCATAACAACACCCATTATTGGCCCTCAACTTATTGGATCCCCACTTGCATACTTAGCTTGTAGACCCTATAGAGGTCATAATTTTTATCTGATTTAAAAAACGTATTATTATATCACCGTTACACCCTAAGGATGGCCGAGTTCGAATTTCGTGAAAATCGGTCCAAACCTGACAGATAAAATGGCCGCCCTTCTTTCTCAAATAGCGTAAAAATATGGTATATCAAGGTTGTAGACCCTATAGAGGTCACAATTTTAATCCTATTTGGATGAAACTTGAAATGTAAGTTTATAACCCAAAGATTTCGGTTCCTTTCGATATTCGCGCATATCGGACCGTAACTTCCTGAATTATGGGTCCTGATTGTACGAAAAATCGCGTTTTTTGGCTTGTGGACCCTATAGAGGTCATAATTTTTATCCGATTTAAAAAAATTTTTTTTAGTATATCACCGTTTCACCCTAAGGACGACTGGGTTCGAATTTCGTAAAAAAAACAGCCCAAAACTGACAGACAAAATGGCCGCCCTTCGTTCTCAAATAGCGTAAAAATATGGTATATCAAGGTTGTTGACCCTATAGAGGTCACAATTTTTATCCGATTTTGTTGAAACTTGAAATGTAAGTTTATAACACAACGATCCCGGTTCCTTTCGATATTTGCCCATATCGAATTGTAATTTCCTGAATTATGGCCCTTGATTGTAGGGAAAATCGCGTTTTTAGCTTGTGGACCCTATAGAGGTCATAATTTTTATCCGATTTAAAAAAAAAACGTTTTAGTGTATCAACGTTACACCCTAAGGACGGCTGAGTTCGAATTTTGTAAAAATCGGCCCAGAACTGACAGGCAAAATGTCCGCCCCTAGTTCTAAAATAGCGTAAAAATATGGTATCAGGTATATCAAGGTTGTGTACCCTATAGAGGTCACAATTTTTATCCTATTTTGTTGAAACGTGAAATGTAAGTTTATAACCCAAAGATCTCGGTTCCTTTCAATATTTGCGTATATCGATTTGTGTTTTCCTGAATTATGGCCCTTGATTGTTGGCAAAATCACTTTCTTTTTAGCTTGTTCTCTATCCATCTCTCGAAAATGTGGGCGTATCCTGCCTGCCAGCCGCTGGTTACTTTAGCTGGTGGACGGTCACAATTTTTATCTGGTTATGATAAAACTTGGGGCTTGAAATGTATCTTTATAACCGCAAGTAGTTCCTTTCGATGTTTGTGCATATCAGATGCAACTTCCTGGTTTATGGGCCCTGACCTGAGGATAGCTCCAACATAAGGTCGTCGTGCACGGAGTCCTACTTCTCTTAGACGACGTCTTTTGGTGTTGGCTCTTACTGGTCCTTGTCTTCCGACGACTGCTGCACCTGTTCGAGTCGCTGGGCGGAATCTGTCACGCAGGTGAGTGACCCAGATGTAACTGTCTTGAGCTACATGTTGAAAACATGCTTTTAAAGGGCTCACACACAATGCTGCACGTGAATATTGGGTTTTTCATGTGCATCTCGTGCAATTTTTTTTTTGCACACGGGCCGATATTTTTTGCGTTTGGGAGCATTGTGTGAAACAATAGTTCATAGTATTGCATAATATTATAAATACAAAACCACCTAGTAATAAAATATTTGGGAAAAAAAGTGATGCGTTTTCCATGGCGCTCAGTATACAAGGAGTGTCAAATGCAATTTCTTTAAATAATGGTATGCTTGCTTTGTAGCTTAATACTTTCTTTTTTAGAAAAATTCAAGTATCAGATACCAATATATACTACATCTTCAAACCTTGAAGGACAGTCCAATCTCATACTTGGTGAGCAGCACAGCAGACTCCATAACAACACCCATTATTGGCCCTCAACTTATTGGATCCCCACTTGCATATCATGTATGTAATAATGTATCTACATTGATTTGGGCCAGTTTAGGTATTTTTAGCAAAACCGCAGATGCAAAACCGTAATAAAAACAATATCATTAGTTATCCCCCTGTATTTTCAGTAACAAAGAAGACATAATGCAGTATTTTATATTCCATTTTTATTTCTCAGTACGGAATCGCATAAAATTTGTTAAAATGCAACAGACAAGTCAGCCAAAATCAGTTTTAAATGATAATATTTGTGTGTGGCCATACTTGATGAACTTGACTGCATTTAAGATTTTCATTTTCCACAGTTAATTTTGCATATTTTTCCTTAATTTTTATATTTTCTGCAGCAAATGCCAAGATGTCCATGATTGAAATCCTGAAAAATATATACAGTAAATAGATTACAATATGTATTTCAAGCACCTCTTATGCAAGTGACAACTCAACCGAGAACAGAGAACCCTGATAAATGTGGTGAAATAGTTTTTCCAAAACCAGTTGATGTACATTTAGATTTAAATCAGATAGAAAAGATGAAAGTTGAGTGGAAATAAATAGATGTAAAGCAAGATGAAGCCTTAAAAATAGAGAGATTTACAAGAAATAATAATAAGACCTGGATGAACGAAAGAAAGTGTGGTGTTACTGCCTCAAATTTTGGAGCTATTATGAAAAGAAAGAATAAACAATTCATTTTTAAAAACACATTTGACAAAGGTAATTTTTATTCTGTTCCCACTTCTTATAAGCAAGCAAACGAAACCATTGCTAAACAAATGTATATCAAACAGACTGGGAATCATATTCATGACATTGGACTTGTAATAAATCCTGCTTTTTCATTTTTAGGTGCTACACCAGATGCAATTGTTTGTATTAAAGGCGAGACTTGGCTCGTTAAAATTAAATGTCCTTCTCCGCTTGAGATTTGACACTTACAGAAGCATGTAATAAACTGAAAGATTTCTTTATAATTCAAAATGATGATGAAGATGAATATAAATTGTCTAGAAACCATATTCACTGGTTTCAGATTCAGGGACAACTTCTCATAACTGGGGCACAATTTTGCAACTTTGTCACTTTTACAAGACAGGATTCTGCATAGAGAGAATATATCCCGAAAAAGAAACCATGCAGCAACTTGTTTCAAAATAATCATGTTTTTATGTTGAACATTTACAGCCATATCTTATAAAAAATCTACAAGTCTATAAAATGAGTTTAACTAACCTGCGATAGCATCAACTATTTTCTCTGTCTGTACCATTTTATTAATCAAAGTATTTTCTTCACAGTTTTTATTCTCAATTTGATTTGACTTTATAGAAACTCTGTAAAGAAATTCATAACTATATAAAATTTGTACATAATTAATTATATTCAAAAATTTTATACCAGAGACTAATTTTGTAAATATGTCAGTAAGTAATAGTTATATACCTTGTTTTCAAGGTGTATCAACCCATACACCGAGAAAACAAGGTATATAACTGACTTAAAATAAATACTTTTTCGAGAAATAGAGATTTTTTCTATTTTTTCTATTTTTCCCAATTTCAAAAGCATTTTACATTTCACACATTTATCAAAGTTTCCCATTCAGAGCCCCCACCCCCACCCCCCAATTATCTTATGGCAAACGCTTATTTCTACTCAGGTAAATGATGTCGGTACACCACACGTGCATTTCACGGTTTAAATCAGGTCAGGGAAAATGTTCATAGCAGGGACATTGATTGGTTGAGAAAAGCAAACGTCATCCAATCATTATGTACAATAGCCATTTCTTGTTGTTTTGCCAACATCCTTGCTGCGTCGATTGTAGTGGATGGCAGAAATGAATGCGGAAATTCGTCGAAGAATCCTACTTTATAATGTCACAGATATATATTTCTAAGACCGAGAATATCAGTTCTGCAAGAGATGTCAATGATCGCGAAGATTTAGAAGCCCGATCCTTCGCAGAATAAGAAATTAAAGCCATGCAGATGAGTCGAATTCTGCCAAACACGAGGAAAAATACCAATTGCATAGTAATATGATGACACTTCGAGATCAGTACAAAAGATTGGGTTTTTAACTTTTTTGATAAGCAAGGTACATTTGCTAATTTCCACACAGATCAATTCATTAACTTCGCGAGGTATTGACATCCACTGACAGACAAAAACAAGAACAGCCATTAAATGAAGGCGAGTTGGAATTGTAGAGTTCTCAAGTTTGTAGTGTAGAAAATGCCAATGGATTAATTTATACTAGTAATATATTTGGATTACATGCTGCGGATGAGCATAAACCGCGACAAAATGTGGAAGTTTATAGTGTTGAAAATGCCAAGAGATTAATTTATAATAGTAAAATATTTGGATTATATGCTGCGGATGAGCATAAGCCGCGACAAAATGTGAAAGTGCGACAAAATGTGAAAGTGCGACTAGATTTCAAAATGTAAAGAAATGTGAGACAAAATGTAAGAATATGACTGAGAGTGACGCACATTCGAAAAGTGCTGAGACAGTTGAAAATGATAACTCTTTTACCATAAGATGTTCAAAACGGGTTGTAGATGTTCAAATAAATATGTAAATCATGATTTTGTTATTTTTGTCCCTTTTCAACTGATACACGGCCGCTTAAAGTGGCCGTGTATCGGTGTATACCCATCCATTTTCATCAAAGAGTCGAGAAAAAGTATGGGTATAAAACATTTTAATTGTTTGCTGCTAAAACCTGGCATCTAATTTCAATAAATATAATAATTAAACTAGCCATTAATAAAAAAAATACAGCATTAACACAATTTTCTCAATTTTAATATCATGCTATTACCATAACTTACAGTTACAGATGCATAAAGAATGTGTGTACCTTATAACAGGATCTAAATGAAATATATCTAAAATGATATCTTTGAAGGGCATTTAGTGAACAGGATATATAATAAAATGACAACTTTATGGATAACATTCACTAGGTTTTATTAACTGCAACGTTTCAATTAGGATTTTTTTTTTATTGTTTTCACGTTACACTTTACAAGTAATTAATATTTCAATACACCTAAACAGTTCTAAAGACATGACAATAAAACTTGGCATTATACATATATACAATAGAATACAAAATATCTTGTATAAAAGTAATAGAAAAGAAATAGTATAGTTTGGTTATTATAAGATGTCAAATTAAAGTATGGTTTAGGTAATTGGAAAGATTTGTTATCGGAGATGTTTTGTATATGTGTTGTAGTGAACTTACGATAATAATATAAATACGGACAGTTTTCAAACTCTCACCGTTATCAAGCAATGATACAATCAAACATGTTACAGAAGGTTATATACAAGTGGATAACAATAAACTAATTAAGAGATTGAATCAGAAGCCATAAAGTTAAACCCCATACCTATGAAAACTATTATTAATGAATTAGAAACCTTTATATACAATATACAAGTGGATAACAATAAACTAATTAAGAGTTTGAATCAGAAGCCATAAAGTTAAACCTCATACCTATGAAAACTATTATTAATCAATAAGAAACCCTTATATACAATATACAAGTGGATAACAATAAGCTAATTAAGAGTTAAATCAGAAGCCATTCAAAGTTAAATCTAATACCTATGAACTATTATTAATATTAATCTATAAGAAACCCTTAAAGGGAGTTAAATCAGAAGCCATTCAAAGTTAAACCTAATACCTATGAACTATTATTAATATTAATCTATAAGAAACCCTTAAAGGGAGGGAAATATACAATTAAACTAAAATAACCGTTGATACTAATAAACCCTTAATCTTCATTACGAATACGGAGTAAGAACAAAAAAATGAAAGATAAATATGAAATGTAAATAAGAAATCGTAATGTTGATATATCATTAATCTCAATAATCTATAGCTCCTATATGAGGATTAAAACAGTTAGCATGGAACAACCCATATTATAATACTATGCAATACGAAGGTTGTCGACCCTCTAGAGGTCACAGTTTTTATCCGATTCTTCTGAAACTTAAAATCTATCTTTATATCCCAAAGATCCCAGTCCCTTTTGATATTTGCGCATTTCAGACCATAACTTTCTGGATTATTGCCCCTGATTGTACAAAAAAATCCCGTTTGTTTTTAGCTTTTTCTCTACCCATCTCTTGCAAAATGTGGGCGTATCCTGCCTGGCAGCCGCTGGTTTGTTATTTGGGGTGATCCGGTTTTCTCCCACTGCTAAAAACCCCTACGCGTAAGCGAATTATTGAAATAAAATTGAAACATATGTTAGTCCCGAAATGACCTAGTTTGTGTCCAGTGGATATTACCCCCCCTCTCTCTCTCTGGGGTGTTAAATTGACATTAATTATTAAACACATTCACCAAAAAAATACCAATTTTATTTACCAACTGTAATTTATATGAATATTTGCTGTTCTTTATACCAAATTGTCAATTTTAATTTAAAATAATAAAAAATATATGTACATTGTAGGTCCACATTTATGTAAGGCTGGGGCGGGGGGGGGGGGGGCTATTTGCCACATGTGGTAAGACAATCTGGAGACTATTTGCCACATGTGGCAAGTCTCCGTACCGATTTCAATGAAACTTACAGATAACGATAACATTAATAATATCTCAGAGTAGGTAAAATGTGTGGTAACCCGATATCTCCGAAACTGCTAACCAGAAGTGGTCGTAATTTTGGCTACTCTGAGATATTATTAATGTAATTATAATCTGCAAGTTTCATTGAAATAGGTTGGTAATTGCAGTCTGTAGCCGTGCCACATGAAATGTGCGGTAACCCCCATATTAACACCTCCCTCTCTCTCTCTCTCTCTCTGGGGTGATAAATTGACATTAATTATTAAACACATTCACCAAAAAAATACCAATTTTATTTACCAACTGTAATTTATATGAATATTGGCTGTTCTTTATACCAAATTGTCTATTTGCCACATGTGGTAAGACAATCCGAAGACTATTTGCCACATGTGGCAAGTCTCCGTACCGCAATTATCAACCGATTGCAATGAAACTTACAGATAACGATAATATTAATAATATCTCAGAGTAGGTAAAAATTCGACCACTTCCGGTTAGCGGTTTCGGAGATATCAGGTTACAACACATTTCATGTGGCACGGCTACAGGCAACAATTATCAACCGATATCCATGAAACTTACAGAATATGATAACATTAATAATATCGCAGAGTAGCCAAAATTTCGACCACTTCCGGTTAGCGGTTTCCGAGATATCAGGTTACCACTTACAGAATATGATAACATTAATAATGTCTCAGAGTAGCGGTTTCCGAGATATCAGGTTACCACACATTTCATGTGGCACGGCTACATACCGCAATTACCAACCGATTTCAATGAATCTTACAGAAAATGATAACAAAAATAATAACTCCGAGTAGGCAAAATTTCAACCACTTCCGGTTAGCGGTTTCCTAGATATCAGGTTACCACACATTTCATGTGGCATGTGAAGTTCAACTTGTAACCAAATCCACTATTATTTCAACTCTTATGACAATAATTTACATTTATATCAATGTTGGATAATATAAGCTTACTGTTTTTTAAATGCACACATTTTGGAAGTTTCTCACATTTTCATGTGACCGTACCGGCAGGGGCGGATTGGGCCATCGGGCGATCGCCCGAAGGGCTGGTCGGAGAAAAAATGAAAAAATTAATTTTTTCCAATTCGTCTAAAAAAAAACCCTTTTCTGCTTAACATTATACAAGGGGGGTGGGGGGCATGTATTGGACCGGCCATGTAGCGATGATTACGGGCCGCCACGCCATCACTGGAGTCTGGAATGGGCTGGTATAATAGACTTTCTGGGCCGGGTGTGCTGGATGTGGGCGGGAATTCGGAATCCTGCAATGGGGATTCCGAATTTCATCCGAAAATTTCATCGGATTCACCCGACACTGTCGCCCGCAAATTTACTAATTATTAAGTTATCTGCACCTTGTTTGTGGGGATACGCCAGAAACGTCTGCCGATGGTACGTAACTCAGCAAAATTTGATGATAGCTGGTCTGTTGGCTGAATATGAGTGCGAGACGATATGCCACCAAATCGCATATTTGGGGTTCATTTTTCAAAATTTCCCGGGGGAGAGCCCCGCGGACCCCCCGTCCGGGCTCGGCGTTCAGTAAAAGGGGCCGCTCCGACACTGGAGCCCAGGCCGGTTCCCGGTCCCAATCCGCCCCTGCGTACCGGTATATCATGTCGTTCACCTGACTCACCCCCCTGTCTGGACGTCAGTCCAGGATGATCACGTGGGTAAGACGCTGGCTCGCTAGCCTGGAGGTCGGGTGTTCGATCCCTGCATTGGCCGAGAAAGTTCATCCAGATTTTCTGGCGTGGGTTCCCCTTGTCAGTGATGTAGGACGGTGGGCCTGACAAGGACAGCTGTCTAGTCATTCGGATGATACGGAAAACCGAGGTCCTGTGTACACATTGGTGTGCGCGTAAAAGATCCCTTGGCATTTGGAATTCGATATAAGAGTAGGCCGTAGTGCCACTGCCCGGGACACTTAGCACACTGTATGGCATATGCCCGTCTTCATTAGCCCAGTTTAGGAGTAGGATGTTAAACCCCATTTCATTCATTCATTCATTGGATGTCAGTACACAATTTTTTTGTGGGCGCTGGACAGGTCACAATATAATCCGAAATTTTCCAAAGATCTCGGTACCTTTCGAAATTGACATGTGTCGGACCACTTTATTTTTTATGTCCACTGATTGCACTGAAAATCACGTTTTTATACGCCCACATTTTCATGTGGACGTATATTGTCGTTGCCCGTGTCCGTCCGGGCGTCCACAATTTGTTTGTAGACACAGGTCACAATTCTTATCCGATTTTGACGAAACTTGAAATATAGGATTATCTCCAAAAGACCTCGACTGCTTTCGATATTGGCATGTATCGGATCGAAACTTCATGGATTATGGCCCCTGTTTGTACGAAAAATCACGTTTTTAGCTTGTGGACCCTATAGAGGTCACAATTTTTATCCAATTTTGTTGAAACTTGAAATGTAAGTTTATAACTCACAGATCTCGGTTCCTTTCGATATTTGCGCATATCGGACTGTAACTTCCTGAATTATGGCCGCCCCTGATTGTACGAAAAATCGCGTTTTTAGCTTGTAGACCCTATAGAGGTCATAATTTTTATCTGATTTAAAAAAACGTATTATTATATCACCGTTACACCCTAAGGATGGCCGAGTTCGAATTTCGTGAAAATCGGTCCAAACCTGACAGATAAAATGGCCGCCCTTCTTTCTCAAATAGCGTAAAAATATGGTATATCAAGGTTGTGTACCCTATAGAGGTCACAATTTTAATCCTATTTGGATGAAACTTGAAATGTAAGTTTATAACCCAAAGATTTCGGTTCCTTTCGATATTCGCGCATATCGGACCGTAACTTCCTGAATTATGGGTCCTGATTGTACGAAAAATCGCGTTTTTTGGCTTGTGGACCCTATAGAGGTCATAATTTTTATCCGATTTAAAAATTTTTTTTTTAGTATATCACCGTTTCACCCTAAGGACGACTGGGTTCGAATTTCGTAAAAAACAGCCCAAAACTGACAGACAAAATGGCCGCCCTTCGTTCTCAAATAGCGTAAAAATATGGTATATCAAGGTTGTTGACCCTATAGAGGTCACAATTTTTATCCGATTTTGTTGAAACTTGAAATGTAAGTTTATAACACAACGATCCCGGTTCCTTTCGATATTTGCCCATATCGAATTGTAATTTCCTGAATTATGGCCCTTGATTGTAGGGAAAATCGCGTTTTTAGCTTGTGGACCCTATAGAGGTCATAATTTTTATCCGATTTAAAAAAAAAACGTTTTAGTGTATCACCGTTACACCCTAAGGACGGCTGAGTTCGAATTTTGTGAAAATCGGCCCAGAACTGACAGGCAAAATGTCCGCCCCTAGTTCTAAAATAGCGTAAAAATATGGTATCAGGTATATCAAGGTTGTGGACCCTATAGAGGTCACAATTTTTATCCGATTTTGTTGAAACGTGAAATGTAAGTTTATAACCAAAAGATCTCGGTTCCTTTCAATATTTGCGTATATCGATTTGTAATTTCCTGAATTATGGCCCTTGATTGTTGGCAAAATCACTTTCTTTTTAGCTTGTTCTCTATCCATCTCTCGAAAATGTGGGCGTATCCTGCCTGCCAGCCGCTGGTTACTTTAGCTGGTGGACGGTCACAATTTTTATCTGGTTATGATAAAACTTTGGGCTTGAAATGTATCTTTATAACCGCAAGTAGTTCCTTTCGATGTTTGTGCATATCAGATGCAACTTCCTGGTTTATGGGCCCTGACCTGAGCATAGCTCCAACATAAGGTCGTCGTGCACGGAGTCCTACTTCTCTTAGACGACGTCTTTTGGTGTTGGCTCTTACTGGTCCTTGTCTTCCGACGACTGCTGCACCTGTTCGAGTCGCTGGGCGGAATCTGTCACGCAGGTGAGTGACCCAGATGTAGCTGTCTTGAGCTACATGTTGAAAACATGCTTTTAAAGGGCTCACACACAATGCTGCACGTGAATATTGGGTTTTTCATGTGCATCTCGTGCAATTTTTTTTTTGCACACGGGCCGATATTTTTTTGCGTTTGGGAGCATTGTGTGAAACAATAGTTCATAGTATTGCATAATATTATACATACAAAACCACCTAGTAATAAAATATTTGGGAAAAAAAAGTGATGCGTTTTCCATGGCGCTCAGTATACAAGGAGTGTCAAATGCAATTTCTTTAAATAATGGTATGCTTGCTTTGTAGCTTAATACTTTCTTTTTTAGAAAAATTCAAGTATCAGATACCAATATATACTACATCTTCAAACCTTGAAGGACAGTCCAATCTCATACTTGGTGAGCAGCACAGCAGACTCCATAACAACACCCATTATTGGCCCTCAACTTATTGGATCCCCACTTGCATATCATGTATGTAATAATGTATCTACATTGATTTGGGCCAGTTTAGGTATTTTTAGCAAAACCGCAGATGCAAAACCGTAATAAAAACAATATCATTAGTTATCCCCCTGTATTTTCAGTAACAAAGAAGACATAATGCAGTATTTTATATTCCATTTTTATTTCTCAGTACGGAATCGCATAAAATTTGTTAAAATGCAACAGACAAGTCAGCCAAAATCAGTTTTAAATGATAATATTTGTGTGTGGCCATACTTGATGAACTTGACTGCATTTAAGATTTTCATTTTCCACAGTTAATTTTGCATATTTTTCCTTAATTTTTATATTTTCTGCAGCAAATGCCAAGATGTCCATGATTGAAATCCTGAAAAATATATACAGTAAATAGATTACAATATGTATTTCAAGCACCCCTTATGCAAGTGACAACTCAACCGAGAACAGAGAACCCTGATAAATGTGGTGAAATAGTTTTTCCAAAACCAGTTGATGTACATTTAGATTTAAATCAGATAGAAAAGATGAAAGTTGAGTGGAAATAAATAGATGTAAAGCAAGATGAAGCCTTAAAAATAGAGAGATTTACAAGAAATAATAATAAGACCTGGATGAACGAAAGAAAGTGTGGTGTTACTGCCTCAAATTTTGGAGCTATTATGAAAAGAAAGAATAAACAATTCATTTTTAAAAACACATTTGACAAAGGTAATTTTTATTCTGTTCCAACTTCTTATAAGCAAGCAAACGAAACCATTGCTAAACAAATGTATATCAAACAGACTGGGAATCATATTCATGACATTGGACTTGTAATAAATCCTGCTTTTTCATTTTTAGGTGCTACACCAGATGCAATTGTTTGTATTAAAGGCGAGACTTGGCTCGTTAAAATTAAATGTCCTTCTCCGCTTGAGATTTGACACTTACAGAAGCATGTAATAAACTGAAAGATTTCTTTATAATTCAAAATGATGATGAAGATGAATATAAATTGTCTAGAAACCATATTCACTGGTTTCAGATTCAGGGACAACTTCTCATAACTGGGGCACAATTTTGCAACTTTGTCACTTTTACAAGACAGGATTCTGCATAGAGAGAATATATCCCGAAAAAGAAACCATGCAGCAACTTGTTTCAAAATAATCATGTTTTTATGTTGAACATTTACAGCCATATCTTATAAAAAATCTACAAGTCTATAAAATGAGTTTAACTAACCTGCGATAGCATCAACTATTTTCTCTGTCTGTACCATTTTATTAATCAAAGTATTTTCTTCACAGTTTTTATTCTCAATTTGATTTGACTTTATAGAGCTCTGTAAAGAAATTCATAACTATATAAAATTTGTACATAATTAATTATATTCAAAAATTTTATACCAGAGACTAATTTTGTAAATATGTCAGTAAGTAATAGTTATATACCTTGTTTTCAAGGTGTATCAACCCATACACCGAGAAAACAAGGTATATAACTGACTTAAAATAAATACTTTTTCGAGAAATAGAGATTTTTTCTATTTTTTCTATTTTTCCCAATTTCAAAAGCATTTTACATTTCACAAATTTATCAAAGTTTCCCATTCAGAGCCCCCCCCCCCCAATTATCTCATGGCAAACGCTTATTTCTACTCAGGTAAATGATGTCGGTACACCACACGTGCATTTCACGGTTTAAATCAGGTCAGGGAAAATGTTCATAGCAGGGACATTGATTGGTTGAGAAAAGCAAACGTCATCCAATCATTATGTACAATAGCCATTTCTTGTTGTTTTGCCAACATCCTTGCTGCGTCGATTGTAGTGGATGGCAGAAATGAATGCGGAAATTCGTCGAAGAATCCTACTTTATAATGTCACAGATATATATTTCTAAGACCGAGAATATCAGTTCTGCAAGAGATGTCAATGATCGCGAAGATTTAGAAGCCCGATCCTTCGCAGAATAAGAAATTAAAGCCATGCAGATGAGTCGAATTCTGCCAAACACGAGGAAAAATACCAATTGCATAGTAATATGATGACACTTCGAGATCAGTACAAAAGATTGGGTTTTTAACTTTTTTGATAAGCAAGGTACATTTGCTAATTTCCACACAGATCAATTCATTAACTTCGCGAGGTATTGACATCCACTGACAGACAAAAACAAGAACAGCCATTAAATGAAGACGAGTTGGAATTGTAGAGTTCTCAAGTTTGTAGTGTAGAAAATGCCAATGGATTAATTTATACTAGTAATATATTTGGATTACATGCTGCGGATGAGCATAAACCGCGACAAAATGTGGAAGTTTATAGTGTTGAAAATGCCAAGAGATTAATTTATAATAGTAAAATATTTGGATTATATGCTGCGGATGAGCATAAGCCGCGACAAAATGTGAAAGTGCGACAAAATGTGAAAGTGCGACTAGATTTCAAAATGTAAAGAAATGTGAGACAAAATGTAAGAATATGACTGAGAGTGACGCACATTCGAAAAGTTCTGAGACAGTTGAAAATGATAACTCTTTTACCATAAGATGTTCAAAACGGGTTGTAGATGTTCAAATAAATATGTAAATCATGATTTTGTTATTTTTGTCCCTTTTCAACTGATACACGGCCGCTTAAAGTGTGTATCGGTGTATACCCATCCATTTTCATCAAAGAGTCGAGAAAAAGTATGGGTATAAAACATTTTAATTGTTTGCTGCTAAAACCTGGCATCTAATTTCAATAAATATAATAATTAGACTAGCCATTAATACAAAAAATACAGCATTAACACAATTTTCTCAATTTTAATATCGTGCTATTACCATAACTTACAGTTACAGATGCATAAAGAATGTGTGTACTTTATAACAGGATCTAAATGAAATATATCTAAAATGATATCTTTGAAGGGCATTTAGTGAACAGGATATATAATAAAATGACAACTTTATGGATAACATTCACTAGGTTTTATTAACTGCAACGTTTCAATTAGGATTTTTTTTTTTATTGTTTTCACGTTACACTTTACAAGTAATTAATATTTCAATACACCTAAACAGTTCTAAAGACATGGCAATAAAACTTGGCATTATACATATATACAATAGAATACAAAATATCTTGTCAAAATATCTTAAGAAGCAGTCTATAATATTCATTATAAAGAACTAATTTAAACAAACATTAACACAAATAATGATGTAATTATGCGTTATGTGACCCGATTTTTTTTTCTTTTCTTCTTTTTAAACGTCGAACATGATTTTTTTTTTTTTTTTTTAAATCTAACATACATTTGATAAACAAGTAAATGCAGTATTACACAATCTGAAAGTATAAAATACACCAAACTCAAACGTTTTTACATATGTAGAAAAATTCAAAAGTAAAAAAAATCTAATATTGCGAAGTAATGTCATGGTAAAATTGAAATATTAATTCATCCGAAACCAGAAGTTTGTCTTTATTTTCCCACACAGTATAAAAGTAATAGAAAAGAAATAGTATAGTTTGGTTATTATAAGATGTCAAATTAAAGTATGGTTTAGGTAATTGGAAGGATTTGTTATCGGAGATGTTTTGTATATGTGTTGTAGTGAACTTACGATAATAATATAAATACGGACAGTTTTCAAACAAGTGAGTAAGTGTCTCTTCTTTAATTTTGCAATAATACTCTCACCGTTATCAAGCAATGATACAATCAAACATGTTACAGAAGGTTATATACAAGTGGATAACAATAAACTAATTAAGAGATTGAATCAGAAGCCATAAAGTTAAACCCCATACCTATGAAAACTATTATTAATGAATTAGAAACCTTTATATACAATATACAAGTGGATAACAATAAACTAATTAAGAGTTTGAATCAGAAGCCATAAAGTTAAACCCCATACCTATGAAAACTATAATTAATCAATAAGAAACCCTTATATACAATATACAAGTGGATAACAATAAGCTAATTAAGAGTTAAATCAGAAGCCATTCAAAGTTAAACCTAATACCTATGAACTATTATTAATATTAATCTATAAGAAACCCTTAAAGGGAGGGAAATATACAATTAAACTAAAATAACCGTTGATACTAATAAACCCTTAATCTTCATTACGAATACGGAGTAAGAACAAAAAAATGAAAGATAAATATGAAATGTAAATAAGAAATCGTAATGTTGATATATCATTAATCTCAATAATCTACAGCTCCTATATGAGGATTAAAACAGTTAGCATGTAACAACCCATATTATAATACTATGCAATACGAAGGTTGTCGACCCTCTAGAGGTCACAGTTTTTATCCGATTCTTCTGAAACTTAAAATCTATCTTTATATCCCAAAGATCCCAGTCCCTTTTGATATTTGCGCATTTCAGACCATAACTTTCTGGATTATTGCCCCTGATTGTACAAAAAAATCCCGTTTGTTTTTAGCTTTTTCTCTACCCATCTCTTGCAAAATGTGGGCGTATCCTGCCTGGCAGCCGCTGGTTTGTTATTTGGGGTGATCCGGTTTTCTCCCACTGCTAAAAACCCCTACGCGTAAGCGAATTATTGAAATAAAATTGAAACATATGTTAGTCCCGAAATGACCTAGTTTGTGTCCAGTGGATATTACCCCCCCCTCTCTCTCTCTGGGGTGATAAATTGACATTAATTATTAAACACATTCACCAAAAAAATACCAATTTTATTTACCAACTGTAATTTATATGAATATTTGCTGTTCTTTATACCAAATTGTCAATTTTAATTTAAAATAATAAAAAATACACTCTTCTATTTTTAATATGTGATAGCTAGAATCCCAAGGTACATTCTGTGCATATTTGAAGGCAATCGGAGCACAGGAACGTTGCCTGGGCAGAGCAAATCAAAGGCTTCTTCGTCTTATGACCTTAAACACTGCGTATAAATTTAAAGTCAATCGGATATTAACAGCAAAAGGGGGGCGACGACAATATACGACCACATTTCAATGTGGGCCTATAAAAAGTAAATCATTTCCAATAGAAAAGACCCACCTTTCCCCCAACAACAACCATGTAATGCACTAGCTATAATGGGGATTTTTCTGGAACACAGCGAAATGGGTCTTTTAAAATGTTCACAAGTGTATCACAAGGAGGGTTTGCTTCTTCTCTATGGGACACCCGATACCACTTCTCAACGAGGAATTCAGTCACACAGCCAACACCATTTTGTATGTTTGTGTAATCTTTATTCAGTATAAATCAAGTAATACAAATAAAAAAATACTTGGATTGATGAAAACATAATTTTTGAGAGTTATTCATACATGTAGCATAATTGTTCTTATTTAAAAAATGTACATGATTACATGTTTGTCATAAACAACATTAAATAAACAATCATGTTTCTTCACGATAACAGTAACAGTATAACAATTGTATGAAATATATTTTCCTTTATTTTTTTTTATTTTTAGAAAGGCCACTTCCTTGGTTTAAAATATATCATAAATTGTAGTTATCTAACATATACTTCCATGTATGTTTATCTAACAGATTACCACGTCGCCTTATCTAACAGAGAGTAAATGGTATACAATATCAAATTATAATCTACCAGCATTACTTGTTTCAGTAATTTAATCGTGTGTTATTCTTGTATTTAAGTGAGAAGAGTGAATAAACTATCATGGGTTGAAACAAATATATTGGAGTAGAAATAAACATTGTATATTGGTTTGCAAATAAATAATTGGTACAGATAATGCAATGTCATACAACATACTTTTTGGATTCGGTACAAATACAACCTTTTTATCATCAATGAAAATAATGTGATTTCAAAGTAACGATGAATAAAAAAACATTGCTTATATAAAGTACATGTAATTGGGTTCATTTAATTCACTTTGTATCTATAATATACATGTAGTATTAAACAATAAATATATTGATTAATGCCAATTCTATACAAATCTCATAGTTGTATTCATGTTTTCTTTACCATAACAAGAAACAGTACAACAGATTTAGTAACAATATATTCCTTTCTACATCCGTCAGAGTGGTTGATGATTCATAGATTCTAATAACCCCTTTTGAAGTTTATATGAAAGCTTTGATATCTGCTATGCAGATCTAGTTATTGTTATTTTTTTTTTGTGTTTTGTCCACAAATCGGATTTCTCAGAATCTAACCATAGGATCGTTCTGAAACTTTTACCTATCCCCCCAAAAATGGGTGGTGGCTGTTGATTAAATATATTTTCAAAACGTTTTACGAATCCGAAATCACCGAATTTTACGAAGGAATGCATTTGACCTACAATGCTGTAACTTTGTGACTATTTGACCTATTTTACTAATTCTTTTTT